TAAACTTTTTTATATATAATATATGGATGCTGGCTATCCAAAGAGTGCAGTGTAATTGCGACTTCTCCCCATACATTGCAAACTAAAAGCAACTATATTCTGGTTTTGTTTGGGGAAGAGCCCTACTCCATTTCATTTGGTCCTAGTTTCTAAACCATGATGCTTCTCTTCCAACATACCTGTAGCCTGAGCAGTGATGCTGCGGCCTGACTAGGCCAACCACACTCCCCCGTAGGTGAACCCCAAGCAGAAGCAAACAGAAAAGGCGGTTTAAAGTGGAAGTTGGCAGTGTCCTGAGTGCTTCGTCTCAGGCCTTGGCTTCGGAGGGCCCTAGAACTTTCTTGGTCTCTCTTCCCCACAAGCCTCTCGTTAAACTTCCCCTTCATTTTCTTTCTTGAGTTCTGGGAGTTATGGATCATCCTTCTAAGAAAATCTTTAATACTTAGAGTTAAAATCTTTTCTTTGCAACCATTGAACTTGACCTGATGCAGGCTCTAACCAGTATTCTGAGAGCAAATTCACGCCAGCTTGCTGTTCATGTTATTGGTCATCATATTTCCCCACTCATCTATCCATCTGTCAGCAGTGTTGGAAGAGGAGACAGAAGGGAGACTACAGGGCGAAACGAGCAGATGAGCAGACAGACCTCGCCTGCTCTGTGCTGGTAGAAAGCTTGCATTTCCGCCTTAGTCAGGGTCCTCTCTTCATCTGACAGAATGTCAAATCCGGCTTCCTGGATCTGTAGAATACACGTGGAAATGTTCTGTAAGTGCTAGTCAAGCCCAGACTTACCATGAATTTAGTGAAGGATGAAAAATAAAGATAGGCAACATTAAAGGCAGTGGTGGCCTCATCCTGACCAGGTCTAACATTTCCATTTTTTAATGGCATTTGGGTTACTCAGAAGTCCTTCCCTCAGCACGTTACAGCTGCCTGATGCCCCTGTCCCCATTTGTCCATGGCAGGGGACCTGAGAACAGTCATGCAGGGTAAATGTTGTCTCTCCTACCTTCATGATAATTTCATCAGCCTTGCCATGGACCACTGCGTCCGGCTTAATGATTGCCAAGGTGCAGGCCTTCTCCAGTGACACTGAAATAAACCAGGGGAGGTGCTGTGTGATGTTGGACCTTGAGGCTCTCCAGAGGCTGTTGACAGGGACTGCGCTGCTTCACCATAGGCTCCATTGACAAGTGCTGGGTCCAGGCTTGAGCTCTGGGGTTACCTCCCCTGGGCTCTTAGCTGGGCCTCCACAGACTCAGGCTCTAATAATACCACAGGTCTGACTCTGTGAACTCCATCCAGTTGGGAAACACATGGGGGTGGGTATTTCTGAAAGTTTGGGAACGAAAACCTAGAAATGACTGCATTGGCTGTGAACAGGTGACTCAGGAGCTCTGGGGCAGGGACAGGCCCAGCCACCCCCACTTCTTCCTGTCTCTCTCGTGACTCTTAGCCTTTAACCACTGCCTGTCATGTCCTCCCACTCTCTTGGTTCCTTCGCTTCTCCTTTTTACCTTTCTTGCCATGTGCCCAATAATGGCCGCCCCCAGCCCTGCATCTAAGTAACTTTCCACGCGTCAACACTAGCACATGCTACCAAGCTGAAGCTTCAGTCCTCCCTGTCTCCATTCAAGTTCTGACAGAGGGTCAGACTGACCAGCTCGGGGCTTTTTGTTTTTGTTTTAGTTCTAGAATTACTTTTGGCAGAGCTGGGGATGGAACCCAGGGGCTCTCCCATGTTAGACAAGTACTCTACCATTGAACTACACCCTGACTCCCAGCTTGTTAGTTTAGGCTGAGGTACCCATATTGGCTCACTGGCTGGTCTACTGATTAGCCACCCCTTGGGTCAGGGGTGCACTAGTCTAATCAACTGTGGTGATTAGGGAGGTGCCACGGGATCAGAGGCCACTCAGACCTAATCTGTCCAGTCCAGGGGCCTATCTCTGCTGGACTCCTATTTACATAACTTGGCTTTGGTGAGCTACCTGCATTCTCTACAGAATTGGCATACCCCACTATCTATTTTCTGCTTTCCCATATGCTGGTTGTGTTACAGTGATACAATATATCTCTAATTAAGAAGTTTTTCTATTCTGAAATATCTGAAAAACATGGACTGAATATACTATAGATTAGATGAATGCCTCCCATGGTTCCCTGTGGCCCTCCCGTAGTGGAAAGTTTGAAAGGTGGGATCTAGTGGAAGGCGGTCAGCCACGGGAGTTATGCTCCTGCGGGGGCTTGTGGAACTCCAGCCCCTTCCTTTTCCTGTTTTGCTTCTTGGTCATGAGATGAACAGTTTTTCTCTATCGTGAACCCCTGCTGTGATCTGCTGTCACAGGTCCAAAAGCAACAGGACCAACTGGCTGTATATGAAAACCTCCAAAAATATGAGCAAAATAAACCTTTTGCCTTTATCCAGCTTTTTGCCAGCTGGCTCCTGGGTGGCACAGTGTATGTCACTTTCAGAACATACCTGTTAATTTTTCAGTGGTCACCTTTTTTTTTTGGTCTTTTTGAGACAGGGTCTCCCTGTAGCCCCAGCTGTCCTGGATTCACCACGGAGACCAGGCTAGCCTCGAACTCACAGAGATCCGCCTGTCTCTGCCTCCCGAGTGCTGGGATTAAAGGCATGCGCCACCACGCCTGGCGGTTACCATTTTTTAAATTTTTATTTATTTTTATTTTATGTGTATTAGTGCTTGGCCTGCATGTATGGAAGTGTGGTGCCTAAGGAGGCCAGAAGAGGGCATTGGATCCCTTGGAACTGGGTTATAAGTGGTTGTTAGCTTCCATGAGGGTGCTGGGAACTAAACCCAGGTCCTCTGCAAGAGCAGCCAGTGCTCTTAACTGCTGAGCAGTCTCTCCAGCCCCAGTGTGGTTACTATTTCTAACATGCCCCAAACAGTTGACTTTAAAGGACTCTTACAATGGATTCTATGGTGAACTGGTGGGCTCATGAGATCTCCTAGAGGGTCGAGTGAGAAGAGATGAGGCCCTTGCAGGTACCTGAAGAGCTCCAGCTCAAAGGAGGAGCCCAGGAAAAGAGGTCAGTGGGGGAGATTTTTAAGAGAGACTAGGGATGGGTAGGAAAATGAGAAAGATGCTATCTCAGAAACCAAAGGGGAGATTTGCCTAGCATGTATGAGGCCCTGGGTTCCATCGCCAGCCGAGAGAGTCGGGGTGGGGGAAAGAACTGAGATTGAGACCAAAAGAGGAAGGATTTGAGAGACATGAATATCCTCCTTTTCTGCAGAAAGAGCCTACAGACCATGGCCTTTAGCACCAGAAAGTTCACTGTGCCACCCACGAGTGCCCTTACAGGGAGCAGTGAGCACAGAGCCCAACCACAACATAAGTGAAGGTGAGGGCTAGCCGCAGGATGTGGGCAAAGTTCACAACCCTTAGCTGTGAAGGAGAGAAGACTAGGGGAAAGGGAAAGGTTCTGTGTGGTTTTCTGGGTCAGAGAGACTTGACCACGGAAGACGTAACAGAGGAGAGCGGGAGACAGTGCGGCAAGGCTGAAGGCCAAGTTTCTGACTCTTCTGGCTGGTTTTCTGGCTTCTCTAAGCCATGCTCCTGCCTTGTTAGTCTCCAATCCCAAGAGTCCTTATTATGCACTCATGAAAAACAGACTTGTGTTTCATATGCAATAATTTCAAGACTTCCTTCTACCAGCTCACTTCCCAAATTCAGTCCTAGTTCCCCTGGCATCTTGGTTGCCACCAGGAGACACCATCCCAGCAGCAGCCGTCTAACTCTCTTGGCTGCACACTGTAGGCCAAGCTGCTCTTCTCATAGGGAAGGTTCAAGAAGAACTGCAATGCTGGTGCCTATGACACATATGATTCACAGCTAGAGAATAAGTGAAAGAGAGTTGGGAGCTGTGGGGAGGGAAAGGGGAGGGTGGTGGAGAGGGAAGGGGAGGGCCATGGAGGAGGGCTGTGGGGAGGGCTGTAGGGATAGAAGGGTGCCTGGTGTTTCAGAAAGAGGCCATAAAAGAAACTTGAGCTTTCCAGTTCAGACAGAACTAAGGAAATGCCAGCTCATCACGTCTCTTTGCCAGCATCACTAAAGTTCCCTACGTGGAGCATTTCCTGGTGCCTACTGACTGTTATGAAAGTCATGTTTGTCACTTTTTAATATCGTCAGACAGGTGTGACATGTACCCAAGATGCCACTAAAGGGCAGAAGGAAGATCCGATATAGTTTTTTGAAGCCAGGTGGTGGTGACAAAAGGTGGGCGGTCAGCATTTCCAGAGCTGAGGCTGCACAACAGCCTAATGACATGTTTAAGACATACGTATCTACCTCGCTGACTCACCTATATTCCCATCTTCATCACCATCCTTTTCATGGTAAGAACACTCATCTTCATCAGAAAGAGTCTCATCTTTAATCTAGGACAGATTGGTCAGGAATAGAAAGTATTTAGCTAATACAAATTGCCATGAAGAACTTCAAAATCCAGCAGAAACAGCAACAGGATACAGAGATTCAAAATATGGAGCAAGAAGCTGAAACGTGGAGACAGGGTTGTCACAGTTTGGGGGACCTGGCGGGAGCCTTTGTAGTGGCTGGATGGTGGCGGGGGGTATGAGCATTATGGGACAAGGGGATCCATGCTGGTCCTAAGCACCAGCTTCTGCCTCTCTTAACAAGCATAAGCAGAGATTAAGATAAAGGACAGACAGTTGAAATTAAAGTTTGTGATCAGCCACATGGTGCAGAGAAGTCAGGGGCAGATCCATCTTCCAGGGGAGGCATGTGGAAATGTAAGCATCTGCAGTTTTCTCTGGGGAAAAACTGCTAGTGTTTTTAGAAAGAAATGTGTTCTGTAAAGGGTCTGGGATTAAGTATGGAAACTTGAACAGTGAGCACAGAACCATGCTGTGCTCTAGGCAGATGCACAGAGTGCCTAAAAATACCTACCTACAGTGTGTCTATTTTTAAAGTTTCTAGTTATTTGTGAAGAACTAGCAGTCTGTGTTATTGTGGAATCTGTTTGTCAAAGTCATGAGCTATGTTGCTCCTGTTTCTTGTGGTAATGACAGAAATTGATTTCTAAATTAATGGACCCTTTGTGACCACAACTAAAACCTTTGGGAACATGAGTGTGTGGCTCACCAAGAGAGACTTCACCCTGAGGCTGAAGAGACGCCTTTTATATACTTGTAGTTTGGGTGTTAAACATTTGGCCCTCAGCTTGGCAAGATGGTAGGACCTTTAAGAGGTGGGACCATAATGACATTGGTCACTGGGGGAAGTGTAATTGAAGACTGGAGATTAGGGTATTGTTTTCCAGCCTCCCTTGAACAGCTCTTTCCACAACACTGTTGCCACCATGAAATGAGGCCTTCACCATAGGATCAAAAATAATGGGCCCAACTGACCATGGGCTGAAAGCTCCTAAATGGTGAGCCAAAATGAACCTTTTCATTTCTTAAATTGTCTCAGGTATTTTGTTATAATAACAAAAGGCTGACTACTAATTCTGTAAATATATTTTCCTTCCTGAAGTCATTACTAAGAGTTAAGTTGTGAATGAAAGGGAAATAGAGAAGTTAAAGGAAATTAAAAGGGAATGACTTTTAAAAGGCTTCAAAATGCAGAGATCACAATGGGCACTGTGCATTCTTCTCAGGCCCTGGGCAAAGAACAGACCCGTTGTGGGACATTCATGAAGGTTTCTGCTGGACAGCCCCAGGGAATTGGGACAGGGAAGGTCCCCCGTGTGAGTACACGTGTGAGTCTGCAACGTGGACACGTGGCCTCTACTCACCACTTTCCGTTCTCTGCCTTCAGCCAGCACCTTCTTCTCGGCCTCCAGCTGGTTGAGAATGGTCTTCTGCAGCAGTGGGACGTTCGCCCCCCGGACCACAGCCACCAGTTCTCCTCCCTGGAAGGTATTACAAACCACATGACACCCTCCTCAAGCTCTTCATCTCTTTTAGGAGACCAACTTAACGCTGTGCCCAAGGTGCATCAACCCCTGGCTCTCAGCCTTCCAACTTGGGGGCCCTCACTCCTGCAGACACTTCCTGGGGCCTTTCCTACCACGAAGCCCTCCACTTGGCTCTTACTCTAAAATGATTTCTCTCTGATTATCACCTTCTCCCTGACACTTCTCTTTTCAAAGCTCCCTTAAGGCAACTGGCAGTTAGTTAAGAGAGGAACAACCCCCAGAAAATTGTGTAAGTGTGACTTATACGTGGCTAATTCACTTAGCAAATATTTATTGGGTATTGACTCTACCAAGTGCCCAGACAGAGGCAAAGAACGTAAGCACTAAACTCAAAGACACAATCACGGCCCTCAATGAATGCTGAGTGGAGTGGTCATGCCAAACAGAATTGGGATGCAGCAAGATAATTATTTAATCTGGGATATTATGTTTGAAACATGTCAGCAGAAGTAAGCTCCCAGTACTGGTTGTGATAGTCAGGGAAGGCTTCACAGTAGAGGTGACATCCAGAGTGAACCTGAGTTTCTTGTTTTAACTTTTTCAAAAGTCTTTTTGTATATGACTCACTAAAGAACAAGTTTGGGAAAAGACATTCCTGTAGCATGGGTCCCTTTCCATTTCTGTCCATCCCTCTGTGGCCCACTCTAGGTTTGAGAGTGTGACTCTCCACAAATGATTGTGATTTATGCTTTAATCACCATGGACCTAAGCAATTAAACCATTGTGGTAATAACCCTACTCTGTGACAGCTCTGATGCCCAGTATGGCTGGTGGGCAAGCCCATCTCTCCCCTCCTCCCCACTAAATGTCCCCCCCAACCATACAGCCATCATAGAAACTGGGTCTCCCTACCAAAAGTCAAAGCTTAAATAATTTTAATCATAAATTTCTCATGTGGAGCTAACGAGATGGCTCAGTAGGTAAAACACCTGCTTCCAAGCCTGATGACCTGAGTTCAATCTTGGGAAGCCACATGAAAGGAGAGAACTGACCTCCATAGGCACAATGTGGCACACACATGCCCACACAGACATATACACAAAAATAAATACATAGAAGTGTAATTTTAAAATTAAAGTGAGTTTCTAATATGAAACATGGTGCTGCGGCCAAGGGGATGAACTAAGTAACCCCTGCCCGGCTGTCAGGAGACATGAGTGAGCAGATGTCTGTTTCTCTGACTACAGTGAAGGGTCTGGGCTAGATCTGGATCAGCATATCAACCAGTTGCTTCCTGAGTCTGGCAGGCTGCCTCAACCTGGGAAGCCAGGTTTGAAACAGCAAGTCCTAAGGGGCATCGAGCAGCCATGAATGCCACAGCCAAAGACCTCCAAGGTACCTATCACAGCATAGAATCTCTAGTTTTCTTCAGTAAGGTCTTCACATTTTATGGTTATAAAGGCAATTTCCGCACTTCTCTACCCTATAGAGAAGTATTCAGGACTGGAGAGATAACTCAGTGGTTAAGAAAATTGGCTGCTCTTACAGAGGACCTAGGTTCAGTTCCTAAGACCCACATGGAGGCTAACTACCACCCATTAACTCCAGTTCCAGGATATTCATCACCCTTTCCTGACCTCCATGGGCATTGAATGCATGGGTATACTTGCATACATGCAGGCAAAACATTCATACACATAAAACAAAAATAAATAAATTTTAAAAAGAAGTATTCAGTTGTCCTTGAAGTTCCACTTAACAGAGAACAGAAATCTTGAAAGTGGTGCTGAGAGTAAAGTGCGTCTGTGAGCCCGGAAGGATCACATACATTCAAATGGCATTTTTCTTTCCCTCACACAGCCACTCACAAAGGCTGCCCAGCCCTCAGTGGCCACCAAGGAGCTGTCTTCCATCTCCTGGGAAACAGGGCCCATGGGCGGGATGGTGTGCACGTGTGCATGCCCATGTCTTAGGAAAGTTCTATGTGAACTCAACAAATCAGTATAGAAAAAGTGTCAGAGAAACAGCATGATTGACTGGGATCACTGAGGCTTCAAGGTAGTTTCCAGCGAGAATGAATGCTTCTAATGGAACCTCAGTGGCCTGCAGCCACCCAACAGTCTGCTTCTGCAAAGGTACTTACTGCGTAAAATAGGAAGGTGGGCTCACACTTCCCACGGTATTTTTCCAGGACATCAAGACAGTCTGCCTCTGCCTGAAGAAAACAGTCTGTCAGCAGGCACCTGGGTGCAATGTGTGTAGGGCCACAACTCCACACCCCAGTGACTGACCTCAGATGAAGCCCAGCTCACTCACATGGCACTCCCCCAGTCAGTCCATGGATTTCTCTGGTTCCCACCAGTGACTTTAGGGAACCTGCCACCTAACATCCTTTGTGTTTGCAACAGGCAATGACAGACCTGAAAGGTCCTCAGACATCACATTCATGTCTAGTGAGCCTATCTTAGACAGACAAGGCAGTCTCTCCAGCCAAGGGGCTCTGCAACAACTCTCCACAGAAACATCCAGACTGACTTCCAATGGAGGAAGTGCAGTCTGAAGTCTGACCTGCAAGAGATCAACATCATCCGTGTTCTCTCCTGTCCTGTCTGTGGACCTCACTTGATGCAGTGCATCAGCGCACGGTCTCTTGCACACTTCCCTAGAACTTATTTCCATTCCTGTACTGTAATCGAAGCAACTGTTTGCTAAAAGATCCCCTTTCTGAAGCAGAGGCGGTAATCTTGATACACTGTGCTCTCAAAGTGACATTTTGGTCAACAGTGCTCACCAGCCAAGAAGGGCATGCATATGCATTTGAGTGACATGCATGTCTTCCCTTCATACATCTTGGGCCAGGGGACCACAGGAGGTGACAAGGGTAGAGCCTTTCTGTCTAGAGAAACTAAGGGCATAGTGACAATTGATGCCTTTCAAAGATCTGGAACGGGCAGCTCGTACTTCCTGTCCCTTCTTGCTCCGTTTTTAATTTTACAGTGTTTATGACTTTTGCTGAAAAGGAATCTCACCATAGCAAAATGCAGAAGGTCCAAGCCAACCTCAATCCTCATCTTCTGGAAGAGGCTCATCACAGGTTTGCAGGGGCCACACCAGCCTTGATAGACGTCCACAACTGTGAGAGCCAGGGAGCAAGAATGTTCAGCAGGGGCTGCCGTCCTTACAGACAAGTCTGTTCTCACACCTGTAACCTCCTCAGATGGACATGTTTCCAGGGCAGGTATCGTTCTAGAAGATAAGGACTGAGCATGGAAGAACAACCATCCCTCATTGCAATGATCATAGATTTCTGGATCTGTGAACCATAACAAAGTACTGGGTGTGGTGGCTCATGCCTGTGGTCCCAGCACTAGGGAGCTAGAGGCAGGAAGATCAGGAGTTGAAGACCAGACTTGGGGGGGCTAGAGAGATGGCTGGGCAGTTAGGAGCACTGGCTGATCTTGCAGAGGACTCAGGTTCAATTTCCAGCACCCACAAAGGCAGCTAACAACAGTCCATAACTACAGTTCCAGGGGAATCTGACGCCCTCTGCTGGCCTCCGTGAACACTGCACAACATGGGCACACTTATACACATGCAGGTATAACATTCATACACATGAAAACAAAAATAATAAAAAATATTTTTTTAAAAAACCATACTTGACTACATAATGATAAATGAAGTAAATTCAGCAGAACATTATTTTCTTAAGGTGGTTCCTTTTCCTTGGGGGTCAGGCCTGGCCCAGAACGGCACTCAATGAATATCTGAAATGAAGTCAAACTATTTCAAAAGGAAGAGGTCACTGTAGGTAACCAGCAGCACAAGTTGACCAGCTGCCAATAGCACACGCAGCGTTCACCTTTCAGCACTGATGATGATGATAAGCATCTTGCTTCATTCCTTTGTAAAACCTACACCTCTCTCCTTGGATTCCCTTTGCTGGTTTTGGTCCCCATTTCTAGTAAGTGTCAGAGCTGGATTTGCTGGATCTGCCCCCCACCCAATCCCCCGATCTGATTGGAACAAGTCATTAACACAAGGAATCTGCAAAGACTAAGCCAACTCAAGCACCAGCCACACGCAGGGTCCGCCCAGTCTGATGTGGGAGGAACAGCACATGCTGCACTGTGATGGATCCATAGATGACCTGAACACTCAGATGTTTGTGCCTAATCTGCACAATCGGGCACATTTTCTCAGTGGCTAGAGAGCATGCCTTGGCGAGACAATGTAAAGATCACTTATTATTTATTAGGCCTGCCAGTTAGTTTTCATATGCAAAATTACTCTACTCAGCCAAACCAACCAAGGCTCCCCAATGGGTGTAGGAGCTATGGCATCAGACAGACCTGGCTCAAAACTTGGTTCTGCTATTCAGTGGTTCAACATATCACAAAATAGTGCAAACTAGGTAGTTTAGACACGATTACTATTTGCTTGTCAGTTTCACAGGAAGTCTGAGATCCAGCCTCTGACAGGATCTGCTGCCTAGTGAAAGCTAGGCATGTACCTTATTTTACTTTTTATAGATTCACACTTTCAAATTTTCACATCGAGTGAGAATTATTATAACACAGTATAAATTATCATTAAAATTGTTACCAATATTGTTCTGGACTAATGGAAGGAAGGCTTCCTAGTAGAAGGGTGATCACATTGTGTGCTGTGGAAGTGCCAAGTGTGGATGGTCAGAGAGGGAGGTGTGCTTGGAAGCATGGCAGCACGCACAGGTGGGTGCTAACGGGCCCCTGGTCCACCTGCTTGAACAGATCTGCCTGGGGCTATGTGTCACTACGGGAGTCTGGACGGTGGGTTAGAGGAGCACCATCCTCATTTCCTCAGCATTAAGGAACGACTTGGTAAGTTCCAGAGAGGAGAGACAGCTAACATTTCTTAAGGTGTAAGAAGGCACCTGTAATTTGCTTTCCTCTCAGAAAGCTCAGCCAGATAGTATCATCATTCCATGACAGACATGACGAAACGGAAGTTCACAGGTGCAACCTCTCAGACAGATAGACCAATTACACTCTATATTACACTACTATAACAAAATAGTACAAGCTAGGTAGTTTAGACACAATTACTATTTGCTTGTCAGTTTCACAGGAAGTCCAAGATCAAGCCTCTGACAGGATCTGCTGCCTAGTGAAAGCTGCATGTTGGGGAAGGAAGGGGTACTATGCTCTTATACCTGCAGGTAAGGGGACAAGAGGAACAAACTACTACTCTCAAACTCCCTTACAAAAGTTCTCAACCAACATCTTTCTTGACAAGAAGGCCCCACATGCTCTAGTTACCTGGGAAAGATACACCACGTCTTAATTCCATTAAGTTTCCACACTTGAATTTTGGAAGAGACATGTTGAACCACTGCATAGCAGAACCAAGTTTTGAGCCAGGTCTGTCTGATGCCATAGCTCCTACACCCATTGGGGAGCCTTGGTTGGTTCGGCTGAGTAGAGTAATTTTGCAGAAAGTGAGGCTCAAGCTGGGTCCAGGAAGCCAGATACCGGGCAGCAATGGGGGTCCAGGGAAGGAGGAACCTACACCTTCAAAAGTACTAACTGTAGGGACGAAAACCAAGTAAGTGCAGAAAGGTTCCTGCTCTGAGATATGTGGAGAAAAAGGACTGGGTGGAGCCAGGGAGAGATAGAAGGAAGAAGAAAGGAAAGCTAACGATTCCAGACAAACTAGGTTTCTGGAACCAACTAGAAACTCTAAGAGATCACAAAGGCAATCAGATGCCCAGAGGGAAGAGAAAGGGGCTTGGACCTCCTCAGCATCCAGTCTGAGAACAAGGCTCAGGGCTTCTCTGAGAACAGGACCTTAGTAATGTGTGATTCCAGCATACTACTGGCATATGGCTGGAGATAAAAAACAAAACAAACAAACAGACATTTGGGTCAAGTCAGGAAAAAGTCTCTGAAGACAGAGGGCCTTGCATATAGCTCTACAGAGGAAAGCAAGGTGAGGGGGAAAAAAACAGGGCCCAAATTAATTTAAAACATCTCAGCTGGGCGTGGTGGCGCACGCCTGTAGTCCCAGCACTCGGGAGGCAGAGGCAGGCGGATCTCTGTAAGTTCAAGTCCAGCCTGGTCTACATAGTGGTTCCAGGACAGCTGGGGCTACAGGGAGACCCTGTCTCAAAAAGACAAAAAAAAAAAAAATCTCTGCAGCATTTGTATTGATATGGTCTCCATGGTTTGTACTAGCTTCTCATCCTCTCTCTTCTTTGGTTCTGGGAGGAGAGATGAGGACGAAGGTTGATCACATGGTTACAGAAGGCGTTGGGAGTGAGAGCTGGGGGCACTTGGAAAGGAACAGTATAAAGAGGATGACTCTGAAAGACTGGAAGCAAAACAGAAGACACTTGGAAGGTGCATATGGAAAGGGCCAGCAGGAGGCAAGACTTCCAATATGGTGGCAGACGCTGGAAGCAAGTGTCTACTGGCACCAGAGACATGGGGGAACATTCTGTCTCCCTGTCTCTCTGTGTGTGTTTGTGTATAATTCCATTGGTCTGCCTGATGGGAAGGGGCGTAGAGGAGGCCTGCTTGACACAGTGTTTAGGAAACATGAACCACAATCATGTAGGTGCTTAGCCGGACAGCTGGTACACGGCAGATTCTCCAAAAGATCATGGTTCTTTCACTGTTGTTAAGGAAGTACTGGTTTTCTTTTCATCTTGGGCTGTAGACTAGACTCATAGGTATAACAGTTAGACCTTGCCACCATCCAAAAGGCTTTATAATCTCTCAAATAGGAGCGTGTGCCAATACTTACACCCACGAGAACATTGATGTGACTAACATTTATTAGCCATTTGGCCCCAGGCTTGGGTAAGTCTGATGCCAGAAGAAAAAGTTAATAGTATTGTGTTAGAGTCTGGGACACAGCTGTGATGGACGGGGGTATGCCAAGCTGGAAATGTGACGGAAGCCTGTCAGAGTCCTGGGGGCGCCCATGAAGTGGAGTGCAGCGATCAGGGAAGGCTTCACATAAGAAGGCTGCTTTTGAGCTGGGCCTGGGAATGAGAAAAGATTCTACAGCTCATGAAGGGCCATGATATTCCAGTAATTACATGGAGAAAGCGAAGAAGTGGGGAACTGGTGACACGTTCAGAAGATGACGTCTGCGTTCAGGACACATCTTAAGAGATAGGGAAGGAAGGGGCTGGAAAGACAGGTGGAGTCAGGAGAGTTCTTGAATGCTGAAGAGTCAAGCTGTGGAGTGTGGAGATAAGATGAACAAGGGCAAATATAAGCTTGGGGGTGAGAGAGCGAGAGTGAGAGAGAAGAACTAAGCAGAGAATGACAGAATGGAGAGATAGAGGAGTGGGTGGTAGCTTCAAAGATGGCCACAAAGACTCCAGCCTCTTGGTATGCACATCATTACGTAGGCCCCAGTCTTTCAGTGTGCTAGGCCTCATGACGGGTTTCTAATAAGCAGAAGAATATACAGTAGCTCCCTGAATGCACCTGGTCATGTTTAATATGCAGAATAAGTATGGGTATCACTTTTGAGATTAAGTTGACAAAAGGCCAGCTTGCATCTGCATTCTCTTTCTCAGTGCCCTGCTCCGGAGAAAACATGCTACCATTCTGATGGACAGCCTCATGGAGAAATTGACGGCAAGAAATTATGTCTCTGGCCTACAACCAGTGAGGACAAGGATCCTGCTGACAACCACTTAGTGAGCTTGGTCTACCATCAACTATAGAAAGAGCTTGGAAGCAAATTTGTCCCAAAGTGAAAATCCCCCTGTGACGCTTCAGCCCCCTGAGCTGGGCTCCATTTAGCTCTGAGCTTCAGAAACAGTAGGATAATAAATGTTGGTTGTTTTAAGGTGCTGTTGTGTAGGTAAACTATTACAAAGTAATAGGTAACTAATACAAAGAAGATTGGGTGCAGAGGCCTGTAGGCAGTGACTGTGCAGTCTCCTGTTCCAATTCTCTGTGATGCCTCACTGTCCTTCCACCCTGGAAGTTCCAAGAAAACATCATTTTCCTTCCAAAACATTCTCCTTTTGAGTGGAGTCACTATGCCAACATTACAGTTACACCTGAATAAACAGCCCGACTTTCAATGGTAGTTGTAAGAGTGGGCCTGAACTCAGCAGGCATTCCTTCCTCCAGATGTCTCTCAGAACTGTGCTTCTGAGCCAGGCCTCACCCATAACTTTATTCAAAACCATTTCTCTAACATCAATTTGGGAAGCTACAAGCTTGTCAGACAATCTTGTCTTTTCACCCCTAGGCCTAAAGATTTTCATACACACAATGTCAGGCGTTCTTCTCAATCTTCATTGTTTTCAATGAAGATATAAATATGAATGTGCTGCCGTTCAGCACTTTGATTTGTGGATGCTCAAGCATACTTGCATTCATCGTATTCGGTGGAGGGCATCAAGGTCTGGAGTACAGGCTTAGTGACCTTGTTTTCATTATAAACAGTCTATATTCGGTCCATTTTGTAAAAATCATTCCTATGCTTTTGTGTCTCAGGTAATTAGAACTTTCTGTGACCAGACACCAAACAACTTTGAGTACAGCAATCAGCTCTAAACCAAGAGAACCCTGTTATCTAATGGTACTGACTTACTCACTGAACTGAATTTACTAATATCTATTTGAACACAGATAACATAGAATATGAGGTGAGTGAAATCATAGATAAGGGAGGGGAGGCTACTATGCACACAGACAGAAAGAAATCACCTGATTTTGTTTTCTTGTTTATATGTTTTGAGATAAGGTCTCATGTAGTCCAGGCTAGCCTCAAACTCATCATGAACCTTAAACTTCTGATATTTCTGCCTCCTAAGTGCTGGGATTACAAATGTGTGGCACCACACCTGGCTTATGTAGTGCCAGGAATCGAGGCTCAAGGTTAAAAGAAAAAGGTGCTCGTTGTAGCCTTCAACATATCATCCAAACAATTTTGAAAAAAAAAATGGACTGGAAGAAATTATTTTATTTTGAATTACCAGTTAGTCCTTTGGAACTCAGCATTTCCTCCCAAAGCTCCTGGGTGCTGATGTTGACCTGAAACCAAAGAGAATCAAAAGTGCTGTCAGCGATGGCACAGATGGGGCCACTTCATGCACTTTCCCCAGATTCTCTCTCAAATAGTCACGGGTACAGTTCAACTTGTCCTCTCTCCCCTCCCCTCCCCTCTCCTCTCTCTTCCTCCTCCTCTTAATCTAAAAACAATGTATACTATTCTCAGACATTAAAAATGTTACATGTTATTTGTCCAGAAATAATATGTAAGGTTGTTTTATGTTGTTAACCTGCACACAGTTTCACACTTTCCTTTTATAGTTTGTGTGTTCACTCAATCAGAAATAATTGAATTTATTGCCATTCACTCACATTTTCTTATTTACAAAGAGTTCTAGTTTATATTAGATATGAAACAGGAGAATAAATATTATTCCCTCTCCAATTCGTTTTTTAAATTTATTTCATTTTTATTTTATGTGTATATTTTGCCTGCATGTAAATGCACCCAAGTGCTCAATGCCTGTGGATGCCAAAAGAGGGCATCGGATTCCCCTGGAACTGGAGTTATGGACCGTTGTTAGCCACCATGTGGGTGCTGAGAACTGAACCTAAGTCCTTTGCAAGAGTAGCCAATGCTCTTAACTGCTGAACCATCTCTCTGGCCCCTCCACTTCTTTATAATGTATGCAAAAATACATTTTAAAATTTTAAAACAATTTCAAAACTACAAAAACTTTAAACTATACGTGAAAGTGCAGTGCAAAGAACATTTGGGACACTTCAGTGCATTGTCTGTCATAACCACAACTGAAAATCAGGAGGAAGACTCACTGACGTCCTATTACCAAGTACCATGCAATCCTTAGGTACCACTCATTCCAATAATGTCCAAAAGAGCTCCTCAGGGGCTGGGGAGATGACTCAGTGGGTAAAGTGATAGTTGAACAAGTAGGAGCACCTAACCTGGAACTTTAACACCACATAAAAAGTGTGACACAGTGGTATGCATCTGAGGGTAGAGACAGGACCGTTCTGGGAGCTTGCTACCAGTCAGTGTAGCTGAAATGAAGGGTTCCAGGTTCAGCATCTCAAAAAATAAGGTGTGGGTTAGGCATGGTGGTGCACACCTTTAACCCCAGCATTCAAGAGGAAGAGGCAGGAAGATCTCCATCGTGAGTTCCAGGCCGGCCAGTGCTGCATAGTGAGAAGAAGGCATCCCAACATCAGCCTTTGACTTCTACATGCCCCACAGGGGAGCCAACGTGCAGGTGGATACAAAAGAGAAAAACCCTAAATGAGAAAGTTGGATTGATGTCTGTTATCCTGGGCCCACAGCTACTGTCCAGAGGCTTAGCTGATGTCATTGATACCATATCTCCTAGTCCCTGTAGTGGAGTGGCTACGCCAGCTCTGAGGCCAGGTGAAGTGCCTTACTCTTAGTTGCTAGATATAACAGTAAAGGAAATACCTGAACTTCCTTAAGCCCTGCATTTGGAGAGCATGAACAGACTGCCTGGCACCTTTTGACAAGCTTATTACTTGAAGTGTGATTTCTGTTTCAGTCATAGAAGGAACTATGAAGACAGAGAAGACAGCATTCCTGGTTTGTCAGTTCCTGGGCTCTGCTTTCAGAGCACGGCACAGATGCCTCATAGGGTGGAGAAGGATGCCACGCCCCTCCTTCCTCAGCACTTAACTTTGAATACTATCTCATGTTCGGCACTCCGAGGAATAATATGAAATACTGTTAACAAGTGGTATTAACCCCCAAAGGGGATATACAGCATTAACAGTTAAACTGATGGGCACATGGGTCAGTATTCTGAGAAACTTGGAGAGCATTCAGGCCGGTCTGGAAGAATGACCCAGTTTTCAGCAGGCCGTCCAAATGATATGACAGTATTCTCTCTCAATTCCAGGGCCCATGCCACTATGTCTTCACCATGACTTTAGAATCACCCAGTATTTATTATCCAGGATGATGAAGAAGGTAGATAGAGAGTGCTTCAGGTGTCAACTTGACATATCAATTGAGGAATTTCCTCCATTGGATTGGCTGTGGCGGTGTCTGTGGGGCATTTTCTTGATTGTTGAGTGATGTGGGAGGTCCTAGCCCACCATGGGTGGTACCACCCCGGGGCAGGTGGGCCTGTGTTATGCAAGAAAGCAGGCTGAGCACAGGCCAGGGAAGCAAGCCAGTAAGCAGCATTCCTCCATGGTCTGAGCTTCAATTTCTGCCACCAGGTTCCTGCTCGAGCTCCTGCCCTGGCTTCCCTTGAAGGACTGCACTGTAAGTTGAAATAATACTTTCCTCCTCAAGTTGGTTTTAGTCATGGTGTTTATCATAGCAATAGAAAGTAACTAGGACACACGGTGACACATGCCTGAAGTTTCAGCACTGGGGAGGCTGAGGCAGGGGACGTCTGAGTCAGGTGTCAGCCTGGGTTATAAAGTGAGATTAAGGCCATCCAGAGCTACATGGAGTGACCTGTCTCAGAAACAATTGCACTAAGGCAGTCTGCATAACAAATGCGCATCATATAGTACGTCTCAAGCCACACTGTTGCAGTGAATGTTTAAACAGAAAGAACAGTGAAGAGGAACGGGGCACCATAGAGTACACAGACAGATGCAGGCCCAAATGGAGAGAATCTGTATATAGTCTCTGAGTTTGCCACAAGTGTTACTCAACAGAAACTATGAAGCACAGGGAATTAGGCTGCTTCAGCTTTTCCCTTTTTAAATTTTAGTACATATTTGTGTCCTATGATTGCATAAGCACTATATAAGAAGTTCTGTCCAATTTTTGGTATATACTTAAGTAGAAAAAGTTTGTCATTACTAAGTGTTCGTTCAGTTTTTCTACTTTAACACAGACGGGCATAACACTCAGGATCGAGAACACTGTCGCCTTCTGCTGGCTGGTAGGACGTCATCTTTCCACCGACTGCACCACACTCCCACACCTCCGGCCTAGCTCGCACCCCCAGCCAAGTACCCGGAGCTAGCGCTCTTTGCTGCTTACCTGCAGAGCAATCTCCTTCTTCTTGCCGCCCATGGTTCTGCAAAGAAACCAAACCCTTTTACCTGGGGATTGAGTGTTCAGTGCGACAGTCAGCCCACAACCTCTGCGAATCAGCCAGCCAGGAGCCTCCTAAGACAAGAGCCCTCTGCCTTTTTAAAGGTGCTTCTAAGAGGCAGCAAATCAACGTACTGATGCAAAATGAATGAACACACACACACACACACACACACACACACACACGCACGCACACACACGCCCCAACACCAGAACGGGCTAAGCCTGCAGCCCTTGGGCTCCTCGGGATCCGCGTCTACAGGCAGCGCCTGGCAGCTTGTCACTTTAGAGAGTCATTATAGGGATTCCAGTAGCAAAAGATCCCGTTGTCCTTACTGTTCCCATGTACCACAGGGAAAGAACTATCTCCCGACAGATGCCGAGATACCGAATCCCCAGTGCGCACACCGAGTGTACAACAGACTCCGTGGCGACCTGACTACGGTCGTCCTGGCAACCTAGCACCCAGCCCAGAATGCCCGGCAGTCCGCAGCCACCTAAGCCACGCCCACTCTGCACCCCTCTGTGCTCCCCGGGCACTCGGCCCTCCCAAGACTGAGGTCGTCCCGCCCCTTGCTGGAAGGAGTGAACTGTGGGAACGCTCTGATTGGCTGCAGGGAGGGGGTTATGTGAAGGTCTGGAGGCGCTTTTGTGCTCTGTGCCAGTGCTCTGATTCCCAGGACCCTTCCTCCGCTTCTGCCAGGAGTGGTGTTGCAGCTTACCTTCCACGACACATTTGCAGGAGTGTCACTCGGGAGATGGCTTTTCAGAAGTCTGAAAGAGTTGTCTTTAAGCCCCTCGAATGTATGAGTTCAAAATTAAGCATGAAAGCCAAGTGGAACAGAACCAAAAATAGTTACAGATATGTAGACTATCAATAGTCTGATTTACACCATCAAAACAAGGAAAAAAAGCAAAACCCAAAAAAACCCTCAAAATGCATCAGTTTTTACTGTAAAATATAAAACTTTAAAATTTCCTGAAGAAGGTGCACTTAGATTTGATGACATTTTTTGTTTGTTTTTTGTTTTTTGACACAGAGTCTCCCAGTAGCCCAGCTGGCCTGGACCTCACTACTAGACCAGGCTGGCCTTTATCTCACAGAGATTCACTGGCCTCTTTCCTGAGCACTGGAGTTAAAGGCATGAGCCACCCTGCCCGGTAATAATGACTTCGTAGATAAAACACCAAAAACATGATCAGTGAAAGTAAATACTGATCAGTTGAATTTATTAAAATTAAAAACTTTGGGGGCTAGAGAGATGACTCAACAGTTAGGAGCACTGGCAGCTCTTGCAGAGGACCCAGGTTTGATTCCCAGCACTCACATGGTGGTTAACAACCATCTGTAACTCCAGTTCCAAGGGATCCAACACCCTCTTCTGACCTCTATGGGCACTGCACAACATGGGTGCACTTACACACATGTGGACAATGCAATCATACCCATAAAAAAATAAAAATAACATTTTTCAAAACTGCCAAAATTAAAAACTTTGAACTCTACCAAAGACTAAAGAATGTAGAGACAAGGTATAGACTAAGAGAAAACATTTGAATATATCTGATAAAGGTCTTGTGGTTTAGATCTGAAACATCCCCTATAGGCTCATGTTTGAACAATTGTTCCCTCCCTGGTGTCTGTGCTGTTTGGAAGGTTGTGGAGCCTTTAGGAGGTAGGGCCTAGCTGATGGAAGTAGGTCACCAAAAGTGGCCTTTCAAGGTTATAGCCTGCAGTGCCCAGCTCTGGTGCCCTCTTGGCTTTCTGGTCTACCATGATATGAACTACCACAGATTCCTCTCTCTTCAGAGACAGTTCACCGTGCCTTGCCCCCACTATGATGGACTGAGACCCCCAGAAACCATGAACCAAAATATCCATTCTATAGGTTGTTTCTAGCAGGTATTCTATCATTGCCATCTGAAAGTTACTAATACAGGATTTGTATCCAAAATCTACAAAACTCAGTAAGAAAATGACTTGATTTAAATAATTCATTATTTTTATGTGTATGTGTGTAAAACCTGCATGTATGTAAGTGCACCCATGTCATGTAATGCCCATGGAGGTCAGAAGAAGGCATCATATTTCCTGGAACTGGAGTTACAAATGGCTATTAAGTGCTATGTGGAACCCACATAACTGCTGATCCATGTCTCCAGCCCCTGAAATGACTCAATTTAAAAACAGGCAAAAAACACTTCACTGAAGGAAACACAAATGGAGAGTAGGAATGTAGCTCAATTGATAGTGTGCTCATCTAGCATGCCTGAAGTCCTGGTTTTGATCCCCAGATGCACATAAACCAAGCATAGTGGTGAACACCTGTAATCCTAGCACTTGGAATGTGGAGGCAGGAGGATCAGAGTTCAAGGCCAGCCTTGGCTACATAACAAGTTTGAGGCCAGTCTGAGCTATATGAGTCTCTGTCTTAAAAAACCGTGGGGGTGGGGGGAGAACAGGAAAAAGGGAGAGAGAGAGAGAGAGAAAGAGAGAGAGAGAGAGAGAGAGAGAGGCAGTTTGGTATTTTCTTACAAAGTTGTAGTTCTATATTATGACTCAGCAGTCTTGCCCCAAGTATTTACCCAACTAATCTGAAAATCTAAGTCTGCACAAAGATCTGCATGTGAATGTTTCTGATGGTTTTGTTTATAATCAGAAAAAATGGAAGCAATCAAGATTCCTTTAGTAGGTGAGTAAATAATAAAACTGAGGCATGTCCATGCAACAGGATATTGTTCACCATTTTTTAAAGATTTTATTTATTACTTTTGTATTTTATGTTTATGAGTGTTTTGCCAGCATGTGTATGTGCACCACATGCATGCAGTACTTACAGAGGCCAGAAGAGGGTGACATACCCCTGGAACTGGAATTACAGGTTGTTATGTGCCACCATGGTCCTCTGCAAGAGCAGCAAGTGCACTTAACTGTGAGCTATCTCTCCAGCTCCACAACTAGGTTTAAAATGAAAGTTTAAAATGCAAGTCAAGCAGGTGCCAGGCCCTCAGTTTGATCCCCAGCACCTCATGGGGTGAAAAAAGACATTGAGAAGCTTTAAATGTGTATTGGGAAGTAGTCAGTATGAAAAAGCAAGATATCCTGTAACTCTAACCATAAGATATTCAAGAAAAGGCAAAACTTAAAGACAGTAAAAAGATCAGCAGTTGTGGGGGGGGCAGGGAAATTGGGGAAGGGTTATAAGTGTGGACTGGGATAGGTTTAGGGTGGTAAAGTTTCATTGGCAAACCCTTGGCATTATGCATTTGTCAAAGCCAGTAGATATTTCTTTAAAAATATTTATTATTAAAAGGCCAGGCATGGTGGTGCATGCCTTTAATCCCAGCACTTGGGAAGCAGAGGCAGGCAGATCTCTGTGAGTTCAAGCCCAGCCTGGTCTACATAGTGAGTTCCAGTACAGCTGGGGCTACAGGGAGACCCTGTCTCAAAAAGAACAAAAAATTTATTTTAATTTTATGTGTATAAGTGTATGGCGTGCAAGTATATAAGTGCACCTGTGTCATGCAGTGGTCTAGGAGGTCAGAAGATTGTGTCAGATCTCCTGGAACTGGAGTTACTGATGGTTGTTAGCTGCCATGTGGGTGCCTCTTTTCCCACTCACTGAACATGGCCTGTGCACGGGGCATGGAAGAATAATTATACGACAAGCACTAGCATCCTTGATATGATATATAGAAAATGGCCTTTTACTTCTGCGAACTTCCTCCCCACAAGCCACAGTCCCAAAGCAGATGGATTCAATTAGATGGGTATTCTACAGGATACCTGACCAGTACTAGTCAAGACTGGACAGGCGATAAAAAGGAAAAGTCTAAAAATTTATCAGAGCTAAGAGAAGTCTAAGGAAATGTGATGACCATGTGTACAATTCTAGAATGGATAAGAACATTGAGGATGGGGAAATTAAGGAAATATGAATTAAGTATAGATTCCAGGTCATAGTAACAGATCAGTATTTGCTCATTAATTGTAGCAAATATGCTGACACAAGATGTTGACATTCGTGGAACCTGCAGAGGGAGGGCATATGGAAACTCTGTAATATCTTCCCAATTTTTCCATAACTCTAAGTCTCTTCTAAAGAAATAAAGTCAGATGCTGGAGAGATGGCTCAGTGGTTAAGAGCACTGACTGCTTTTGCAGAGGACTCGGGTTTGATTCCCAGCACCCACATGGCAGCTACGAACCGTCCTTAACTCCAGTTCCAGGGGAGTCCGAAGCCCTCTTCTGACCTCTGTGGCATTGCATGACCTGGGTGCACTCACATACATGCAGGCAATACACTCATACTCATAAAATAAAAATAATAAAAAAAATTTAAAGAAATAAAGTCAGGAATCCTTATGTTCTTATGCTTTGTGTGTTCATGTGTGTGCAGGTATACATGTGTGTGAGAATGAACAAGCTGTGTGTGTGTGTGTGTGTGTGTGTGTGTCTGTATGTGTGTGTGCATGGGCATAGAGGTCAGAGGACAACCTTGGGTGTCATTCATCAGGTGCCATCACCACTTTGAAGATCAAGACAGGGTCTCTCACTGCATTAGAACCCACTGAGTAAGCTAGGCTGGCCGGCAGCGAGCCCTAGGGATCTACCTGTCTCTGCTTTCTCCTCATGGAAGCATTATAGCCATAGATGCCTCCACACCTTTCTCTAAGGTCTCAAGATCCGTCCGTGTTTTTTTTGTTTGTTTGTTTGGTTTGGTTTGGTTTGGTTTTTTTTGGTCTTTTTGAGACAGCGTTTCCCTGTAGCCCCAGCTGGTCTGGAACTCACTATGCAGACCAGGTTAATTGGCCGTGAACTCACAGAGATCTCCCTGCCTCTGCCTCCCGAGTGCTGAGATTAAAGGTATGTGCCACCACGCCTGGCCTCAAAGTGCATTTAAAAAAAATTAAGAAACACTGTGAGCTCTCAGGGGAAATGACAATGTACAAGGCAAATCTTTTGTATGAGGAGAGACAGCTGGCAATGGAAAAGAGACCCATGTACAGGCCATTTCCAAACAGTGATGCGCTGTGATAGATCTTTGGTGAATGTCAAGCCTTAGAGATGTAGAGAAGAGCTTTCTGCTGATAACCCAGAAGA